AAAATCATTCACATCATTACCATCATACTTGCTAAGTTAAACCCTTTTCAAAACATACACTTAAATAAAGTTAGTAGGTCTACTGTTTGTTTCAGGAGAGAATTTTTTTTTATAAAAACTTATTATTATTATAAATAAATAAATAATATCTAATTTATTATATATTATATACAATTGATTAAATTATAATTTAGATTTAACTAGTTATATAAAGATAGAAATTTTGATTTTTTTTAATAATTATAAAATCTAAAACAAGTTAAATAAAAAAAATTATATAAAAACAGACTTTTGATCTAACTTATACAGAAATTTTACAGTTTAAATTAAACCAGTATAATAAACTTTATAAATTAAAAGAACCTTTGAACTTGAAACTATTTTAACTTAATATTTGTTTAAAAAAAGATTAGACAATTTATTATAATAATCAGAAATTGCAAATAATAACAATAAGTTAATATTTTTTATGATTTTAAATAAAAAACATTGTATAAAATATTTAAGTATTCTAATTATTTTTGCAAATATATACTTTCAATAACAAAAATGAATTAACAATTTAGATAATTTAAGGAAAATATAAAAAAATATATAATAGTACAAATGACTTCATTTGTAAAAGACGTTTGATATACTGTATAATCTAGATATTAATCATCAATAAAAATTCATATTGTTACATCTTCATCTTTTAAAAAAATAATAAATAATAAAAGTCGGTTATACATTTTATCATTAATATTATTTCGAATTATTTAGTTCGTTGCGTGTCGATTACTGCCGTCGACCACGTGAACATGTTCATTTTCTGCACCTAAAAATAGCAACTTAAACACTGCTCCTTACGTAGTAGTTTTCTGAATAATTGTGAGGTTCGTGTAACTTGTCTTCACAAAATGACTTTTAAGAGTCGAAGCAAGATAATAAATTTTTATTTCTATCCTTTATTTAATAATGGTTAAAATGGTTATGGTAGGCGTGTGATCACTAAATATCATTATTTTTTTGTTATTCGGTGCAAAAGCAGACTAAATCCTAATCTTATTAGCAATCCGAAAATCTCTCACTCTCTCCGCCTGTCCCACAAACCATATACATAACTGACTTTCGCAATCCACAAATTTCCTTCGATGATGCCTTATTACAAAGCGTTAAACTAGTATTAGAGAATTTTAATAAACTCTCAAGTGACAAGATCCAAGATGCAAACATTCGGAAGCACGTTGGTGGCATTTTAGAACAAGTTCATATATTTCAGTCCCTGACACTGGACTCGGTCAACCTCTGTAGTCAGATGGCAAACTATGCCACCGACTTTATAGAGTAAGTAGGAAGATGTTCTATATTGTGATGAATGTTTATTTTAGCTTACAGCACCCCAAATTTTTTTGTTATTAGATATTTGCAAATCCTGATGGAAGAAGATGTATTATGGGAAGATTTCATTGAGGCCATGAAATCTCAAATTCAGTCTGCCACATCTAATAGATCAGGTGCATCCCGTTTGACCAAAGGATATTGTGACATCTTATCATCTTTAAAGAATAGTATCAATGAACTTGAAGATTATACGAATTATATGGGTTTAGAAAAAAAACTGGAACAAAATGTTGAGCATTTAAAGAAAGAACAGATGACACATACTTGGGCTGCAGTGGGCACTGGAATTACTACCGGGGCAGCTATAGTTGCTGCTCCATTCACTGGTGGGGCATCACTTGCTGTCGTTGGTATGTTTTAACCTTATTATTTCATGTCACCATAAAACCAGAACTAAATCTAGTTGATCGATTGATCACATTATTACAGGTGCCTTGGGACTTACATCTGCTGGTGCGATGATAGGTAAGAGTGTATCTTTGCATTCTATGCCTTTTCATATTGTATTAAACGTCTTGTTTGTATAGGCACGTCCGTAAATAGTGTTAAATTCGGAGAACAAGCAAAATTATCTGAAAGCGAGCTGAGACAAATAATTGAAATCCGTGAAAACATTGGGATCGTGATGACCGAACTCGTAATCATAATTGATAAATTTAGCGGATTTGATGAGTTTTTCAGGTTGGAGATAGAGGATATCAATAGGATTACTGAGAAGTATACGCCAGATGGAGACAATGTTAATTTCAGAATTTCGAGGATGAAGAATACATCCATGAAAAGACAGTGGTCACGAGTATGTGATGTATTTCAGGCGTACGTGAGTCAAGTACAACCATTGGTGAAACTTTAGGGTTTCGTAAGACATACACTACATTATGCAGATAATCTTCCTAGTTTAAATATTATATAAGTGCATAAACATATGAATTTTATTCATTCTATTGATAACTTTAGCAATTCTTCGAATCAATCTATTAAATATTAGTCACTGGGAACAATTTTGTTGCTAAATATAGAAAGAAGTTGTAGTTTGTCTCCGATACATCAAGTGAACGGTTTTTGTCACTAAATTCGGAAACAAACCGTTGTTCTGTTTTTATTCTTCATTGTTTCCTGTTTACTATCCTATTTTGGGTCACAATGACCCATTTGCTCTTTTATTTTTGCCGAAAATGTGTAAATTTGACCTTTTTATATTAAATTGTGCAACTTTAAAAATCCTATATTATCTGGTCGTTTTCTTTAGAAGTGCATAATTCTTTCTTTTTTTAATCATCGAAAAATATGATTATGGTGAGTAGACCAAGTGCTCAATTCCTTTATTTTCTATTGATCTAATAAGTCTTTTTATTTGTCACTGTAAGAAAACCGCTTCATCGAGTTCTGAAACCATTAACGCAACTGAATTCAATATACCACAAACTCCCTCAATCGATGGATTACTCAAAAATATAGGATTAGTTTTAGATAACTTTGATGAGTTTTCTAGAGATGACATCGATGATACCAATATTCATGGTAGAACCATTTTGGAGCAGGGTAACAAGTTCCTGTCGTTAACTCGAGATTCAATCGATGACTGCAAGAAAATGGAAACTTATGCTACGGACTTTATGGAGTGAGTTATAAATAAATAATGTGTCATTGAGTATTTGCGTATATCTTGGACTGAAAATTTTTTCCTTATTAGATACGTGCAAATATTAATGGAGGAAGATGTATTGGTCACGGATTTTATTGAAACAATGAAACTTCAGGCTCAAGCTGCTACATATAACAGAATGAGAGCTGCTCGTTTAGTCAACGGATATTGCAATATCCTAATAAATTTGCAAGCTATCGTAAATGAAATAGAAGATTTTACCTGTCAGACAGGCATCGAAAAGGAATTAGAGAATGATGCTAGTCAGGCAAGGAAAGAGCAGAAGGCTCGTACCTTTGCCGCAGTGGGAACCGGGATTACAACTGGAGCTGCAATTATTGCAGCGCCGTTTACTGGAGGGTTGTCACTTGCTATTATCGGTATGTATAAGATAAATTGATTACAAGATTATAAGAACAAAGTTTAATCGATTCGGCTTTGTGATATTGTAGGCGCCTTGGGTATTACGTCTGCGAGTGCAATGATAGGTAACAAATTTGCATTTAACATTATCGTATGGACGTGGTTTAAGATGTTGCCTGAACAATTTTCTTGTTTCTTCATAGGTACATCGGTTACGAGCGTCCGGTATGGAGAGCTGGCCAAATTTTCTGAGAGTGAATTAAGCCAAATCAATCAAATCCGAACAAACATCGGAAATGTAATTAAAGGATTAAAGTTCGTAGTTCATCGATTTAATGCACTTGATGAATTTTTTAAGAAAGAGGAGATTGATGTTAATAAAGTTATGGAGACGTACGGGACCGAAGAAAATAATGCTAGTCTTAGAATATCGAGGATGAAGGGTACAGCGATAAGAAAACAGTGGGCACGCGTCAAAGAAGTACTTGAAACATATTCGACTGAGGCAAAATCATTGATGGACAGTGAGTAGTTGATTTAAAGGAAAATTTTTTCTTCACCATTTCTTTATAAGCGAGATCTTACTCTTTTTATCTTATTTTCATCAAATTGCGAGGATTTGTAAATTAACATTCTATTTAAATACAATATATTGTAACAAAGTTTTCAACGTATCATTCTTCTAAGCACAAAGTTTAGAGTTTTGTAGTGAAAAAATAACAAGGTATATAATAATAACATTTAAATTTACAGTGCATTGTACCATTTTTGTTCTTAAATATTAGCTATTGTATTTGCAAGAAATAAATTAATTACTGTATATATTATAAAAACAAGTAGACAATGTGACAATTTTATCGTTTCTAATAGCTCTTTGCTTTATTTCGAACTGATAATAATTTAAAATTTTTTGTAATTCCAATAAATATTTCTCTCTCTTAATTAAATTATTATAAAAAATCAAATATAATGCATGTAAAAATATTTGAAATGTTAGATATTTGATGCAACGGAAATATCTAATTTATTTGAAATATTTTAAAATAATAATATTATATTGTATAACCTGCGAAAATATAATCAAGATATACAGTAATTATTTCGAAAAAAAGTATATAATAACAATCTTATCAATTTTTTAATAAATATTAAAACTATTTTATTTTATTTTTACTACTTGTTTTAGCTCTCATATTTCAATTAATTAATATTATCTATTATATACTGTTTATTTATCATATATAATTAATGATTTATATTAATAGCATTATTATAAATACTGCAAGTTATTTGCTATAAAAATTTTTTGAATAGTTTAAAACTAGAAAAATCAAAGTATAAATTTTTTTATGCTAGTTAATAAATTGAAATGAATAAAATAAATATTTAAATATTTGAAAATTTTTATAAAATATAACAAGGTGCAAAAGTTTTTGAACCAAATAATTAAGTTAAAAATAATAATAATAATAAATTTAACAATTGAATTTTGAATATGTTATTTGGATTTATAAAACCATAATAGTAGTTTTTTTTATTAAAATTTAATTAATTGAATTTTGAAGTTGTTTGGATTTGTAAAACCATATAGTAATTGTTTAAGAATTAAATAAGATATAAAAAGTTTAATATTTTTATATAACTATAATAATATTATTATTAGAGATATCATAATTTAAAAAACCATTAGAATATTTTTGTTATATAATATTTTTATTGTTATTATAAACAAGTTTGGATCAATTTAATTATTAAAAATTGATTATCAAGTTTATATTAATTAATTATTTAAAAAATAAAATTTATTTTAATTTTTTATATTATAAATTTTAAAGTAATATAATATTGTATATTAAGAAAATAATTGAGTTTAATTGAAATAAACAAAAATTCAGTAGCTTTATTTTAATATAACTTTAAAAATAATTTATAATATTAAGAATTGATATAAAAATAATTTTATAATTTTTAAAAAAATTTATATATATAAAACCAAAATTATAAAAAAGAATTATTATATACTGTATTTTTATAAAAAATTATTTTGAAATTAATAATAAACAAATAAATTTTTTAAAAAATTTTATTAAAAATTTTCTAAAATATATTATATAAATTGATTTTTTAAAATTATTAATTTTTTTAAAAAGTCAATCTTACTATAAAATTTTATAAATCTATAATAAATTTAAAAAATATAAAAAATTTTTTATTAATTTTTTTTTATATAAATTTTTTTGTAATTAGTAAAA